AATACTAGAGAGAGAATGGAGCAGAGAGGTTATTGCTGAAAGTGCTGCAAAGAAATGTTGGGGAAATATTTACACAGTACTGTTCAAGATTTTAAAAGTGACTAGAGATCTGCCCAGCATGGGGGGGAGGGAAGGGAAACTCCCACCGGAGGGCTTTCTGCTTCCTGTAGCACAAGCCAGGCTGGAGTCACCCCAGCTTTGCTCCTTCTCCAGCTCTTTGCTTCTGAAAGGGGCATGGGGAACACACTCCCTCTTTCAGCCTGGCACAGCCCACCAGGGGGACTTTAGTTTCCCTGCAGCTTGACCCCAGCCTGACTCCAAGCTGCAGGGAGGCAAAAAGCCCTCCAGTAGATGCTTTCTCCTCATGCCAGGCAGACCCCAGCTGGGGTGTGGGGGAGTGAGTGCAGGGCTGGAGAGGGGTTCATTCCCCCCTGCCCACCTTTCTCTGAGGCACACAGCTATGGAAGCGGTAGGTCTGTGGCAGTCATAGCCCAGGTTGAGCAGTGGGGGGAGGGAGATGAAAAGCACCTTGGTGGGTGCTTTTCTACCCCCACCCCCCTCCATACTGGATAAAACTTGGCTGGGGGAGTGTGTTTTCCACCCTTCCTCTTGGAGGTGGATGACTGAGGAGCGGGTGGAGCTGAGCTAATCCCAGCCTAGCTCAGAGCTGCGGGGGGGAGGCAAAAAGCTCCCCAGTGGGGGCTTCCCACCTCTTGTGCGCACCCCCCCCCAGCCGCAGACCCTGGCTGGGGGACGAGCCAGGCAGGAACAGGGAGAGGTGCATTCCCCCACTCTAGGAGGCAGAGGCTGGGAAGAAAGTGGGGCTGACTGATCCCAGCCCAGCTTGCTGGGCTACAAGTGGGCAAACAATAAGCCCTCACCATAGCAGCTTTTCTTCCCTTTGCTGTAAGAGCCTAGGGCTAAGGCAGCCTAGGGGTCTGCTCCTCTGCCTGCTGCCAGGCCTGGGAAGAAAGCAGACTGGGGAACAGAGGCTTTAGTGCCTCAGCTCTGTGACAGCTGGGAGCAGGGCCAACCCTGCTCTGCTAGAGCAGACAGTATGGTGCTGGGATGCTGGGGGAGTGTGAGTTAACTTGTGTCAAGAGGGGATGTGAGACAGAATTTCCTTAAACCAGTTTAACCTAAATCAAATCTTGTACTACAGCCAACAAGGTTCATCTTAAATTGGTTTTGGCCATTTTGAAAGTGATTTATGTGCACTGCACTTCTGTTCTGTTACAGGCTTAAACCAGTTTGCAATCGCTTAATCTGGTGTATGTGTAACTTCTGCCCCTAGCCTTGGTGTCAAGGTTCTGGCCACAAAGACCCCTACATTATTAAAGTTAAGCTTCTATACATGGTGGAGATATTCAGGCCTGAGCACATAGGGGCTTTTTTTTTTTTTAAACACGTTGAGGTGCTGCAGCACTGGGTACTTTGAAAAGTGTGCAGTTGTGAAAGTGGTGAAATGCATATCAGCATGCAGAAAATGGCGGTGGTATGCTTTTGAACTAAAGTACCTCCGAGGTTTTAGTGCTTTAGTTCAAAAGTGCACCACTACTATTTTCTTCGCCCTGATGCACATTTCACCACTTATACAACTTCACACAGCACAGCACAGTACATATCAGCTCGTGTGCAAAGCAGACTTGATTAATTGGCAGATCTCCAGCGTGTTGCAGGACAAAAAGGTACATGTATAAATGCCCTAAGTGCCTAGTTTGTACCAAAGCTGAAGTTTAATCCAGAGTAGAACCTAAGCTTACACCTGCGTTGCCAGAGAAACCTAATCTGGCAGTCCTGCTCAGGCTATGGTACATACATGCTATCAGCACTGAGCCCAGGGCACACTACGCAGTTGGATTCAGTAAAACGACCCATTTAAATTTCTCAAGTGAAATGGTTGAATTCTAGTTCTATGCCTCTTACTTGTTCTGCAAGTTGGAGAAGTAACTATATAAATGTGTGAAATATATGTTTGATACGCTATTCTAATGATGTGATTGTAGCACTGAGGGTTTTTCTGCATGCAGTTAGTCTGCACACGAATGTTTTTGCATCCAGCTTGTAAATCTGTTTGTTTTTTTTACAATATAAAGTCATTTTACTATAAATATTTCACTTGGTTTCTCAATCTACAAACTTTAAAGGGGACTTGATGTCAATTGTTGGCAGTATTTCATTAGGGCAATAGCTGAATGCTCTTATTCTGAAGATATTGCAAATTGGGATTTCACAGCAGTGTTGCTGTTCTTCAGGAACATCAGATTTGTCTGTTAAGAAAACAAATGCATCTGATTTTAGAATAACCTAGGTTGACTTATTTCTAACGTTCACTTGTCAAGCAGGATGGAAACTTGTACCTTCACTAATACTTTGTGTGTTGCTGCGTGAACACTGATTTCATAAATCTGAGTAACCTTGATATTAGTGATTGCTGGGTCTCAAATTTCCATTTTAATATAATGCAATAATAATCATTATCATAGAATACTCTGCAGGAAAGCAGAGTACCAGACAAAAGTGTGCAAGATAAATCTGGCTAGATTTTTAAAAGTTGCTGAGTACCGCCAACTAGAGGCCATGCTCTTCTTGACGTGCTGCACACAAGGAAGAATTGGTAGGAAACGTAGTAGTGGATGGCAACTCAGGCAGCAGTGACTGCAAGATGATGGACTTCAGAATCGTGGGGAAAGGAAGGATGGAGAGCAGTAGAGTAAGGACCCTCACTAGGAGAGTAGTAAAAGTTTGGAACAGGTTACCCAGAGAGGTAATAGAATCTCTGTCCTTGGAGGTTTTTAAGACCTGGCTAGAGAAAGCTTTGGCTTGGATGATCTAGCTGGGGGGGAGGGTCTTGCTTTGAGCAGAGGGTTGGACTAGATGACCTCCTG